CCACCCCCCATCCCCCCAAGTTCATTTTTTATTGCAGATTCGGGGTTCTCTAAGCTAAAGCGGACCCCCCGGGCCCAACCGGCTGGGCAGCGGCCCAGCCTAGCATAAAACTTAGGTACTCCCACTCACACAGGGGAGAAGGGTGTGACCGCCAGCTCTTCTTTCTTTCTGTTTGTTGCTCCAGTGGAGAGGAGCACAACTGCCTGCAGGCTCTTTTTTTTTTTTTTTTTTTTTTTTTTTTTTTTTTTTTTTTTTTTTTTTTTTTTTTTTTTTTTTTTTTTTTTTTTTTGCTCTCTAGCACAAAAGCCACTTTCAAAAGTTTCGGTTTTTGGGTCCTGAATCACTTTGATTTTTGGGTCCTGAATAGTTCTGGTTTTTGGGTCTTGGATTCCTTTCCATTGAAAGAGACTTCCGTTTTGATTGCAAGTGCAAAAAGCTCTCTCTAGGACACACATCACTTTCTAGTGCGATTGTGTCACGTCACGTGACTCTATTTTGTTTCCCTCCGAACTGCAGGTTTATGCGACATCAGTGGCCATGCTGCTGACAGCCCTCGTCTCTATAGCGTTCTTCAACTTCCAGCTCACTCTTCCGTTCGTGCTTGGAACATCGTAAGTTTCCCCAACATGCGGAAAATGTTTGATGCAGTCGAAGTAACAATAGCACAAACAACAAAACAAAAAAAAAACAAAAAAACAATAGCACAACCTGCGCCTTTCCCATGCCTCCTAATGATTCTGAACACTTTTTTCTTTTTTCTGAAAGAAAAGGATTGCTAACCCACAGATGTGAATTTGCTGTTGATATAACAAAAGCGAAGCAAATTTTCAGCGCTCAAAAATATAACGCACGTCCTGTTGCACTAGTATGATGCATGGATCACAACAGCTCTGAGTCACCCACCCCCGCGCCCCAACCCCCGAAAGGTATCCCTTGGCTATCTACGATGTATCAACAGTGCTTCGCCTTCATCTCTGCTTAGCAGTCGTGTCAAAACTGTCCACTCTGATAAGGAACAAAATTCACAAATGGACGAGGATTCGCTCGTTGTTCGAGCAAAATTCCAGCCAAAGGTGGGTCAGTCAGTCAAAAGTGTCCTGCAGCAATCGGACTCGGGAAATGTCGAGACGAACTGCAACGAACCCCATTCTTTCTGCCTAGCTAAACCCATTTATTTCGAACAAGCTAAACTTATTTGCCTTATGTTCTATCCGCTGCTATGTACTCTTTCGTTGCAGTGCTCTTCTGTCGATGTTTTGGTGGCCTGGGAACTGTTCATAGAGTAACTTGTGATGTGCACTAATTGCTTCTCCAACCGCCCCTGAACTGCTCATTTTTCTTGTCTACAAGTATCGGGCCAGGATCCGCAGAGCCCAGGCCCGGTAGAGGTTTGGTGGGGAAGGGCACCACAATTATTTTTCCGCGCAGCGGTACTCTGGATTTTAGGTTCAGGGCAATGCAACTTTTGACTTGTCAAAAATAGGTCACGATGGAGTGGTGGTTTAAACCGCCACTACACCGCCGCAGCATTGCCGAAAACGCAATTTCTCACCTACGCAAATTCCCTGGGCTCGTGCCAGCCGTCTAGCTCAGTTGGTAGGGCACGAAAGCTGCTTTGAGGAGGCCGTGAGGCCGCGGGTTTGTTTCCTCACGCCTTCCATTTTGGACCGGGGAGTCCCGCGGCCCCCTGAGGCGCGCTGCGTGCTCACCAGCTAAGACAGTGAGCTTGCCCCCTCCTAGTTGGTTTGGGGGGAATGCCATTGTCCCTTCCGCCCATTGCTAGGAGTTATAGGGTCAACACTGAGGGGATGGATTCAACCCATAACCATGAATGTAAGCTGGCTTGTGGTCCAGAGATGAAGAGTGTATCATTCCAGCCTGGGTAGGTAGTTAGCAGGAGGCATATTGAGAGAAGAACATAGGTTAGACCGCAGTGGCTGGCGGCACCAGCTAAAAGTGAAAGAAAGTGCACTGCAGACTGCGCCTCCAGGCCGCGGTGTACTGGTGGTTTAAACTTCAAACACACCGCACTGGCAACTTCCAATGCTTCCCTGCTGAGCGCTTATACTCGAATGTTCACTACTACGCATTTCAACACACGCACAACTGAACCGCTTTGCGCAGCAGCTCAGGCTGTGGCGCATCGTGTATGCGACCAAACCTGACTGTTTTGAGTGGCACCTACCTACACAACTGTGTACGTAACCAAACCTCTTTGTTTTGAGTGGCACACCTATGCAGAAGTCCCGCACCACTCGAGCCAACATCCTCTTCCTCAACCTCAACCTCATAACAAGTGTGCGAGTTCTGCCGACCAATTTCTCCACGCTTCACTATTTACTCAGATAACATTTCCAACAGGACGCTTGCTGAGGCGCGCTGGCTGACCTCCTCCCACATCACACTCCATAATGGTGACTTGTTCTATGTTATTCGTGACATCTTTGACGCGGTCTTCTTATACTGCCAACCACATGTATGCTGACTCCTGTCCTTCGTTGCTGACGACCGCATGTTCTCTCCTGGACAGGGTTGTGTCCATCGCCATCTACTTGCATTACCAGAGCAAAGGTTCCAAGTAAGCCAGAAGTCAATAATGGGTGACCTCTCCACGAAGCGATCTCATGGGATGCAGATGCCTCTTGAAGAAACGGTCCGTCAGTCTGTCTGACGAAGAACGACTTGAACCACCCACATTTGACTTCAGCCATCGCAGGTTCAGACAGCATCACTGTTTTCCGCTCATCTCTGCAAAGAGGCCACCCGCAGATGGGCCAAAACGGTGTATCTGCCCTACAGGCACTACACCAGATCCTTCGAATGGTCCAAAATTCCTTCTACAGGCAAAATGCAGTGTACAAAGTTCACAGGGTGTTAAATACCATCACTCCACAGAGATCGACAGAGAGCCTGAATCTTGCACCTGATACCTACCGTAAGTGGCCTCCTGTGCATCAACCCAGCTCCAGAGAAACCATCCTCGCACTCTGTGAATCAATGGACAAGGACATGTGCAGTACATAAAGCGCTACTCTATTTTTCCACTGTACATTGCAGATCCCGGAAGGTCAGCTCTCTTGCGGATTCAGTCAATCGGTGGCCGTGTATTATTGCCGTACCTCTTCAGACTACCCACCACCAGCTGGGTGCTCCTTTGTGTCATTGCATTACCCAAATCACTTACTGTATTTACTTCGACAACAAATGCCGTCACACCATTCTGGAAATCAAGCTGTGCTGTCTGGATTACACCTGTGTACATGGCTGCGCCAAGAAATTCGCTGATTACGACTCCATCGTGCTTTCTCAATTTAAATTACGCTGCTGCCCCCGTACATTCAATCATTGTTACTTCGTCCTTACAATTTTCTAATTTCTTACTTCTATGCTTCTATCTCTGACAGCATTCACTTCAATCAATTTGGCCAAAATCCCGGGCCGACAAGTAATTTCCCCAATATCCCGGCCTGAGCAATCTCCCCACAAGTACATATGTATCCACTTGATGGAAGACGGGCACCTCAGATTGGGATAACACATTTGGGTAATAATTAGCTCCAGCGTACGTAACCCGATACAGCCTCCTCTTCCTAAAAATTTGCCCGCGTGAGTGATAATACCTGCGCAATCCAGAAGCGCCTGACGGAAAGGGGAAAAAAAAGCGCATCCCACTGTCCTATAAGCTATGGCATCACCGAATTCCTAATTGAGCATACCACGGTTCAAGGACTTTCCCGAACAAAGCAAGAACAATAATCATCCCCGTCAACAAGCCCTGCTATGTGCATGGTCCGAGTCTGCCAAGTGCTATGTACAAGGCTGCGATGCGCATGGTCCGAGAAAGCAGCAGGAATCCAACGAGTCATGTCATAATGGCAGCCATAGCAACCACATAGGATCTGTCAGCCCTTTCAGACATATAAAAGTGCTCGGGAGTGTGACGGCAAAACCCCTACACCTGCGCACAATTGCGATATTCGCAAAACATTCCATGAGATTTGCCATTAAATGCATTACAAAGACCAGAACGAGCCCAAAAAATAACACATGAGACTTCGATTCACTTCTTGCATACGGCTAGTACGTAAAAAGCTGGGCTCGGTCATTTAAACGATGCAATTCGCTTTCTTGTATAACCTCACGGCCACCCAGCTTGATTCTCACAACGGACCTTCACAAAAAAGCTCCACCATTCCTTGGCTTTGCACAAGAAAACATTTGCGCAAACGCACATGATTCTAACAAGGGTCTCATCCCTCATCCCACCCCACTTACGGTTAGCAAATTTATTTACTTCCGCGTATCCCACCTTGTTCAGGAAGTGAAGAGGGCTCCGGTAGCAACGGAGCGATGTGGAAACGTCGGGAGACGATGTGGAAACGTCGGGAGACGTGGCCGCCTGGGAACGAATGAAGGGTACCCCGGTTTGGAGGAAATCGAAGAAGGAAAGGGCCCATCCCCATCTCTCTTCCCAATAAACTTCATACGTGGCCACCTGGGAACGAATGACGGCACCCCTGTTTGGAGGACATCGAAGAAGGAAAGGGCCCATCCCCATCTCGCTTCCCAATAAACTTCAGGAGATATGCCCACCTGGGACCGAATTACGGGACCCGTATTTCGCCGAAATCCAAGAAAGAAAGGACCCGCCTCTCTACCAAAGAAGGTGCCGTATTTCACAAATTTTATTTGTTTTTTGTCGGGACCGTTGTCCGGCCTGGTTTCTCCTAACTAGTCATATATGTTTCGTCTAACTCTGACGAGAGAGGCCTGGTCCTCGTCTCTTTGGCAGTCCAAGTCTGCGAGGATTCGCTGTTCAGTCAGTCTAGCAGAGCAAGTCAAACATTCTGTCGCGTTGCAAACACACGTCTACAACTGCTATCACTTCTTGGTAGTGATTCCGACGCGGCCGGCATGCTTGTAACTTCATTGCTCGTATTTCGACGTGCCGCATATTTGCAGCCGTCGTATTTGGGAGACGATATCGAGATGAGCTTTGTAACCACTTCGCTCTCTCCTTCCGTGTCCGCTTCCCTTCTTTTTCTCTCTCGCTTTCCTCTTCCTTCTCTTCGTCTTCCTCTTACCTTTCTCCCTCTCCCCCTCTTCTCCCTTTCTCTTCTAGATTCTAATCCTCATTTCCACTGCTACGGACTTCGGTCGGGTCGTCAAGGGGGTCATGGTTGCCGGACCAATGGTTTGCTACCCTTCGATCTTTTCCATGAAAGCTGGTTCATCAGCTCCTTTCCATTTTGGTTCTGGTTCTGTACGTGCACTTCATTTTTTTTGTTGAAAAACTAAGTTATATTCTTCCCTCACTTTCAACTTTCACTACCCTTTGATCTTTTCCATGAAAGCTGGTTCATCCGCTCCTTTTCATTTTGGTTCTGAACGTGAACTTCGTTTTTCGTCGAAAAACTAAATTATATTCTTCCCTCACTTCCACCTTTCACTATCTAGCTCCTACTATACAGGGGACCCCTGCACGCATAGCTACCTGTCACAATTAAGGGGGCCTGCGATGGTCAAGGAGTAAGGTGGGGTCGCCGGTCAGGGGAGAATTTTACCAGTAACTGCACCTCTCATTTACTTCCACAACCCCCCATCTAGTAGCAGCAATAGCAACCACCACTCTCCCACACTACATACACCCCAGTCACGCTCCAACTCACGCCTGTTGGTCACAGACCCTGCTAATACCGATCAGGTGTTGGTCACAGACCCTGCTAATACCGATCAGGAGTATCCAGAGCACAACCACAGATGGTTGGCACTAATTGCGACGCAGCCAGCTATGCGGCCCAAACCCACAACCCCCTGAATGCCACTTTCATGCCTAACCAACTGCGCAACGGGTGATGTGGATTACAAACATCCTTTCCCATCAACCGACAGCAGCAGCATAAGTCTATACGAAATCTTCAGATGGAAGCCAGCTGTGTCGATTTCGCTTCAAGCCCCAACATGATCTATACATATCGTAACCTGCACCTGGTTGGACAATAGGTTAATGATCCTTAACCAGAGAGTCGAAAACAAGTACTGCTAGTAGCAGTAATAGCAGTAGCGATAGCTGCAGTTACTGTCAGTAATAATCTAAGTAGAAGTTCCTGTGGAATATAGCTCGGATAAAGGCCCGCAGGCTCACAGCTCATGTTTTGTCTCGGATAAAGGACCGCAGACCTGGCCTTCTAAGCTGGATGATGCTTCCACATATCGCCTGGCGTAATGTTCACAGCTTGCCCGGCCTCTATCTTGATTGAGTTGAAATGGAATTCAACCTAAATGGATTTCACTATAAATGGAATTCAACTGCTGCTGGTGTGAACTCTGTGATAGGGATTTTATATGACAGGAGAGGGGACGATAACACAGCGGACCAAATCCAATCGTGCACCGTTTCCACAGAGCCGTAAATACGACGGTATACCTCAACACGGTGCTTGCATGAAACATACATCGCCACAAACACGAATTACTTGCGTCTATTTCGGTATTATACACGCGCTTTATCCGGCACCACCGTTTCATGTTTAGGATCCATGACCCTATCGAGGTGTAGTACCTCTTAATAGGATCAAGACGGGTGGACGCTGTTTGGAGCATCACCGAAATGATCCTCCAACAATTGTACTTAAGCGGTAGAGAAATCGAGTCCCATAGTCATAGGAGATGCCAACGAAGCGCAAAGAGGTGTAGAATTTAGAAAAGCTCACAGGTCAGCAAAAGAACCCAGGAATTAAAGAGTCCCCATCTACAGACCCCAGAGTTCGTTAGTCAACCTAAGGACGACAGAAATTGTTCGCGTTATCATACGGGTTCATCGAGTGATTCAACGATTCTCAAATCGTCGCGTGATTATCAATCGAGTGCCGATCAAACACTAGCAGTTTCTCCACCCGAGCTGAACATCAAAGAAGGATCGAAAATACATAAGAGCCTCAAGGCCATTTGCTGAGCGAATGAGTGAATGGACCCCATCTCTCTCTCTCTCTCTCTCACATACTTTTTGTAGGGGGCCTTGGGGGGAGTGCTCTCTCTCTCATCACATTTGACATAACATGATGAGACAAAACTGGAGATTCCAGATAAGGGAAACGAAACGAGAGAGCATGAAGTGAGAGAAACACCCGAGCATCCCACATCAAACGCCACACTTCCGACGCAAACAGTTAACATCAGATCACATGCCACGTGGGTTTAGAGTTAGACCGTGATAGAGAAGTGAGATCTCAGAAAATAACAAACAACTATCAATTAAAGGGAAAAAAAAAAGGATCTCAGGTGAGAAGTAAGATATCCAACTACGCTCGGCATAACACAAAATATCCCTAATCAAGCGATGACCGAGCACACATCTCAACCGTCTTCCACAAATTTGTGATACCATCGTCCTGCCGATACATCGTGCAGTCTCCCGGCCGCCACATTATGACCCCAAATACGGCCATAACGACACCACGTTCTATTGAACAGAGAAACAGCAAGCGTAACGCAGGATCGTTCATCTCACACGCCCAAATCATACATTAACAAAGCGACAGCCGCCGACAGAAACCATTTCAGTGGTATTAGGACAAGGAGAGGTGCATATAGAGAGAACATCGTAGTTCGCGGCGACGTTTGAGACCACATTCACCCAAAAACCGTCGAAGAGTGGGAAGAAGAGTGCGAAAAAAAGGAAAGATTCTTCTTCACCATGTCTTCATGATTATGTTTTGATGACAACCACCCATGGAGTTTGATGTCAAAATAAAACCAACTGAGAAACAAACACAGGTGGGCCAGAGAGCCAACGGCTTCATTGAACACAAAAAAATCGTTTTCGTCACAAAAATGCATCCATTGGCTCACTCAACACGGCACCGACAAAGATTTAGATTACGAATCCTCAACGACGAAGCAAATCCCCACCACAACCTCCAAAACGCAGATGAGGCGAAAAACACAGTGCATCTATGTTCAACCAACATCGAACTTCCGCGTTTCCCTCTACATCGGTGCGTCTACACAACCTCCTGTGCGTAAAAACCTAGACCTCAAATAGTTTCCAGTACCAGCAGGGCCGTCGCATTCTCAAATAAACGCCTACATTTCTCTCCTCCCACTGCCTCTTCCTCCTTTCCCGCTCCAGTGCTCCACACCCAGGTAGAACCAACGGCATCGTACACGCCAAAGATATCGCGAATCCACAGCCGAGCCGAAATGTACAACCCCTTAACGATACGACTTCTGGAAGCGCGACCTTGCACCCCGACCGCCAAACTTCTTGGGCTCACAACGCCTCGGGTCAGCAACAAGGAGCGTACGATCATACTGGTGTAGCACGTCCTTGATCTCTTTCTTGGACTGCTCGTCTACGACTGCAAAACCACAATGATCAACAAGAAAGACGTCATTTTTCGAGTTGTCAGCTTTCCGTACATGTATCCTCCGCTTACTTCCTACATTTTCGAAAGGCCGGCTTTACGCATTGGCCGTGTATTTCCGTACATACATCCTCCGCTTGACAACACGCGATGTGACAACCACCACTACTAATACGTGAGAGACAACGAAACCGTCGACGATTGTTATGAAGAGCATCCGTTCATCATCGATTCTTCCTCCTTGTCACCTCAAACCCCTTCGACTCACGCCAATCTTCTTCCTCGTCTTCACAATTTCCTTCTGCGACTCGTCGTAAAACACAAAAAAAGGCACTTGCAAACCCAAGCGAAAACGACAACACAACTCTTAAAGACGGACATTCGATAGGGTTTGCCTCCGACGATGAAGTGCTTTCCACAACCTCATCGACGCGACAATCAGCGGGCACAACCAAAACAAAGCGCCAAGTTCTCCATCAATAATGAAGCGCACAAGCACATGACTGATTGCAATTACGACCGCCATACATGAGTACAGCGGCCAAGAATGCAGGAAAACAAAGAATGTGGATTTAGTGCCCTTACATTTCTGGTAGTACGCCACGAGTGCCTTCGCGATCGACTGTCTGATAGCTGCAAAGACAAAACAGCAAACGTCGCCCCCATGCCATGAGAGCGTCAGATTTTCTAATCCAATATAAAACCCCTGCGTATTCGTGTATGCTCGCCCCCGTTCCTACAGGACAAACATGACGCCTTCCCCCACAAATTACAGACGCAGATCCCCGAGCGAGGAACATATCCACTTGACCTGCGGCGGACGACGAAAAGAAGAACATTCCATTGTAGTAGACACTCGAAGTGGTCATGAGTGCAGAACACAGAACACCCTCTGTCATCTTCTTGCTTACAAAAATGCCTGCCATTATCCACCGATCATGGACAGCCGTAGGAACCAGTAATTTCCAAAAAGAACGTTGTTTTTCAATTCAGAACCAGCCGTAGGTAGGGACCTGTACTTTCTTTTTTACTGAAACAGCAGTTCTAGAGAGATGATCGCCAGATTACCGCATCCTGAAGCTGGAACTTTGGATTCGAAACCACCATCTTCTCCCGAACAAAACGCACCCTAATTTTGGCTGCACCTGACCGGAAATATAACTCATATACATTCATAATCAGGGTGAGGTGTTCGGGGGAAGTTGGCATCCTCGACTCCATTAGTTACTGCGTGCACCTGTCCGACTCGTTCTACACGGCGAAACCCTAAACGATCTTCACGCCTGGGAAAGACAAGATTCAACGCAAACCCTACTGGTACATACTCCGCCGTCGAATTCGTTTTCGATTTCTGTTTCATTGCGGAGCGACACCGTCGGCTTTTCGTTGCAAACCCTAACGCAAATTGACAGACAAAAGTACAACTTACCAATGACTGACCGTTTGCTATAAGCTACATCTCATTGAATAGAGAAAAACTCAATCTTTCGGCAGACAGGGTAACCTGCACTTGCTCTCACTGAACTCTGCGCTTGCTTTCCATGAACACTACCAGCTGAATAGCAGGTAACATATCCAATTGCTTGCCCTCGACACTATCAACTAATCGTCACGCCCGAACTTACACATACAACCTACCTGCTCATGGCATCCTATCAACTAATCGTCACGACATACTTCTACATTAGCATTTTTTGTCGACATTCATATTTTTCGTCGACATTAATATTCTTCTACGCCTGATGGCAACCCATGGTATACATACAACCTACCTGCTCATGGCATCCTATTACCGTGGCAAATCACCGTTTAAGCCTTTCAATTTCACTGATTACCATTCACCACACTTGCCAGCACTTCTCCGTCATGTAGCTATCTGAACGAAATGGATCATAGAGACCATTGCGAATGAAAATAACCAGTCGAAGGGAAGAACAGTGCGGGCTAGTTATCCTCCGCTCGCCAATACGTACCGTAAATTTGTGAAGTGTTCCCTCCACCTCGGACCCGGATCCTCATGTCAACATTGGCGAATCGCTGACGACCGAGGAGAAGGATTGGCTCGAAGACCTTGTATCTGAGGATTTCGGGCTCAACAAGCTCAATGGGGCATCCTGCAAGTCGAACCACACACACAACGAGAACGAATAATAATTAATTTACGAAACATAATTGACGGCAGAGCGACACAGCTCACATCCCTATATTCGAGCACAAGAGCGGCTCCTTCTTCATGACCATAATCAACAAGCCTCGTTTACAGACTGCTTGAGATCCCAATCTGAAACATACATTCACATCCCCGGTTCACAAAGAGCCTCTATTCCGTCGCAGCGCCCCCCCAAAGCAAAATTTTGCCTCAAACCCTAATCACCCAACCATAGCTCACAACGGGAGTCGAGCAAGTGGTTTCCCTCTGTACCGTTCACCTGCATATAACACATAACCAGGTACGGAAGCGCATGCAACGCTCCAGTTCCCCTACGAAATCACTCCCTCGCTAACAGATGTTCCTCGCGAAGAAGACTCGCAAGACTCCACATACCGTGTTGTAGTCCCTTCCTACTGCCATGGGATCAAACACCCTCCATTCAATTGACAGGTTCCACACTGCGAGCCCTCACCAAGCTTTCCCTTTCTCATGTCACCCCCCACTTGTCAAGACTGCCCACTAGTTTTCCACATCCTCCTTCAAGACGGTCATGGGAACCGCTACTGGCTGCAAGCCCCCGATTCTGGTCACTTCTCAAGAACGTTGCAACGCCGACACTGATCAACGCGATGCCCCCTCCATTGAGGTCCTAAGACCTTCCCCCATTCGATTCGCTGAAATTGAAATTGATCCGAGACTAGACGGCCCCATATTCCCAACTTCAACACACTTCCCACAATTGAAATTTGACAAAAAATGGAAAACCGTCACGAAACTTTCCCCCGGCCACTTCGATACGCAACCTCTGACCCATAACTCCCCACCTTCCACTTCCCCAGCAGGTCCAACACTCGCCACACCCACTGCGCTCCGCCTTGCATTACTCCACCCACAACCGACTACGACCATAAACTTCCAAAGTCAATCCCTTCCTTGAACGGCGTCCTCCACTTTCGGGAAATCACACACTCCACACTACTTCCTTTCAACGTTGTGATCTCCACAGCAGCTCCCAATCACGATCCCTGCGTAAACACAGACCGTCCATTCGCTCTCGCCCATATTACAGAACCCTTGCTTCCTCTCCATCTGCTATGTTCCCAAATGCTATATATTCTGCAGCACGATCCCATGCCAATCGTTCACAGAGATTAGACGCCCTTGCTTTGCCCTACCGACTTCTTCCAAGAAGCGTCGAATAGGAAGCTTCCTTGTCGATGGCGCATGCGAAATAACCCGTCAGCCGACCCGTCCTCCACCTCTCCCCCTCGGCACCCTGGAGACTCCATTTTTACTTAATTCTCCCACGACCGTTCACATTTTCCGCCACTTTTTACCGCACTTTTGGCCTTAAAGATTATCGAAATCGCAGGTCCGAGAATACTTGTCCCATCATCGCATGTTACTATGCAGAGGTGGGCACAATCGACCAATCAAGACCCATCACATTTTTAACACTCGTGAACTCCAAATTTCTGAACGGAAGAGTTAAGATTCTCTAACGCACCATTGATCTTTATCAGCCCGCGGCCTCTCTTGCAGTAGGTGACAGCGACGGCCGTTTTCTGCAGAGAAGAGAAAATACAAACACGCTGTGATCAGACGAATGAACAAAAACATGAACCCAATGACACCAGCTCCCAGAATAGCAAAAATAGGCTTCCCCTAATAAGCCAGCACAAGTAAACGATAGCATGAAGTTCAACAGGAGTACTTGGGAAATGCAATGAGCGTAGATAGAGCACAAAAACCCGTAACATTCACACAGAAAGGGAACAGTTGAGGGGGTAAACCTCTCTTCTCTTCACAAACATAGACATACACAAAAAGGATGGGACAAGAATCCTGTACCTAAACATAAAGACACCACAAACGGAAAGAGTTGAACAATGAGACGCAAGCTGAATTAATATATATATTGTCAATCACTGCGATAATGAAAAGATTAGGCTTATAGTAATGCGCTTGACGAGGTCACTCCCAAAAGAATGAAGGGAAGATTACATTTACCGAATAGTTGGAAGGAACAAAATAACGAGACCAGCGCCAGGCCAGCGCCAGGCGAATAAAAGGAGTAAATTCAAGAACACATTAGTAACAAAACGGACGAAGAAAACTATCGTACACAAGCGCGGAAAGATCTCCTCCATAGTTCAATTGGACGCAAAGGAGAAAGAAGGGGAAGGAGGAGATGAGAAAGAAGCCAAGAATGCGCAGTTGATCGACAGAACAAAGGTAGAGATTGAAGCGAGGAACCAGGGAACGTAGAAGAGCATATCGAAGACCTCACGTGCAGGGACTGGGCAGTGACCTGGAAAGATCTGCAACTGAGTGATGGACTCAGATTATTAAAAGAATGACAGACAAGCAGAAAGAATGTGAGAGAAGTACGGAAGGCAGTAGCATCAGGGATCCCATCGGAGAAAAACGAGACGTCTAAGTACTTGAGACGTCACGCCGCCATCATAGCGGAAGGATGTCGATTATCCTGACATCAAAATTAGTGACGTGATGAGTGGAAAGGTGGTAAGGGGGAATACGACGAAGAGAGCGGTGATGCCGGAACACGTGGCGCTGGGAGAAGAGATGAGATGAGGGTTGATGGCGAAGCGGTCGATGTGGGAAAGGGATGCCGGGGAAAGGGGTGGTGCAAGAGGGACAGTGAAAAATAGATGGAAAGTGGCGAAGGTAGAAGGGGAGAGGTGGATGGAGAGAGGTAATGAGTGGAGATGGCGAGAAAGGTGCGAAAGAGATGCAGGGGATTGGCGCAGCAAGAGGAGACCTAGGGAGACGAAGTCATGAGAGGCGGTGAGGAAAGGCAAGGAGAAGTGAAGAGAAGGCGAGAGACGTGTTGAAGAGATATGAGGAGAGATGACGAGGAGACGCGAGAGGTAGAACTGACGAGGAAAAATGGTGAGGAGAGGTGAGGATCGGAGATGAGGAGATGTGACGCGGGGAGAGAGGGTACGAACAAGTGGGGAAGAAAGAGGTGAGGGTAGTTGCGGTAAGAGAGGAGGTGACCAGAGGGGTGAGGGGAGGGGTGAATAGCGGGTTAAGGAGAGAAGGTTGAGGAGAGAGGTGAAAAGAGACGGGTGAGGACAGGGGTGATCACGAAAGGGATGGTCAAGTGAGAGGGGGTCAGAAGAGATGACCGTACCTTGCGACCGAAGCACTGTACGGACTGCACAAACGAAGCAACACAACCACAACCAACGAAATATCTTCGTCAGCACCCTCGTCCACCGTAAAAGTCACATTAAACCATCAGAACTAGCTCACTTGCATGAAATCATGATACCCTTTTTTTTTCGCCCATTTTAGGGCAAGAAGCCTGGCCTCCTCTCACGGATTTCGCGAACACTAAGCAGTGAATAGACATGACATCGATCTCCCGCAAATTCTGCTGCGACCAAACAACAAATTGCAATCTCCTTGCACAGACGTTGTGACCAAACAACAAATTGCAATCCCCTTACACAGCCGCTGCACGTACTCACCTCCATGGCTATGGCTGATTACACGCTACACGTTACAATCCTGCGTGCATGCAAACCCCGAAGCCTGGAAGAGATGGAATTTGCCGCGTTCCTCTGTGAAATAGAAGACCTCGAGGAGGAGAGCTGCGGCCCTCGCTTTCCTGGCTTGCAGTACCTCAAGCTGAGCCCGCGTGTGGTGGGCCCTGACCAAGGTCACCTACCCTCTTTCGCTCCCGGCTACAACCAGTCGATAGCCCGGTCAGTCACTCTTACCCGTGCCCCGGCTGCCCAGGAACTGCTGGCCGCCGTAGATGACTTGCCTGTCGAATCGGACAGCCATTAAAAAACCCCTGCTGAACCGGAAGGCCTCCACCTGCAGATTGCAGTGCATGCGCATTCCGTTTAGAGCGAGCTCCCTACCGCCGAAAACGGCAGGCCTCTCCCCGAACAACCCTTCTGGGAATATGGGCCTAGCTCAGTTGGTAAGGCACAGAAGTTGCATTCAGGAGGTCGTGGGTTCAATTCGCATTGCCTCACGTACGTGCCTGGGCAAGCTTGGTGTTCTACCAGCTAGAGATAACCCGTTGGCCCCCCAAGCCAGCACTGGCAGGACCTCGGTTGATGTTGTTGGCTGCTATGCAGCTACAATATTGGCCATTAGACACCGCCATGTGGGGTTTGGGGGGGGGTAGGGGGAGGTGCAGTGACTGGCCATTGCTCCGCGCTAGCACCGCCAATTTCCCCCATCAGCAATGCCCGCCCACCCCTCGTCACCATGATGAGGGACTGGTACAGCCTTGCTCTTGCACCACTGCTGTGGTGCCAACCTACCCCGTGGGCTGGGGAGAGATCCCGGTTGGTTGGTGTTCCTCCGTACTACACATACACTAATGAGAGGATGAGATAGATGAGTACTAGCAAGAAAAATGAGATAGATGAGAGAAGAATATGGCTTAAACCACCAGTACCTCCGAGCCTGTTTTGGCCAACCCTGGTTTTCACTGAGCTCCGAGTTTTGCCGAGCCTGGGTCCCACTCCATTTCTGTATGGTAC